TTCTGCTCCTGGCAGATTACAATTCTGCCCTCTTTCAAAAATCTGACCCCTTTCAAATTTTGAGCTTACATCTCTTACTCTTTTCTTTGAATACCACAAAAAATAAACCTACAAGAAAAATTTTCTTAACATGTCGATTTTACCAGACTACAATAACACATTAAGATTTACTGACTTTACAAACTTTACTTTTTCCCAAACTAATTTAATAGCATTATCTATCATGTAGAATAAAATGTTAACAGAACAATATACAAAGAGAAAAGAAACTTATAACTACATGGTGTACATGATTTTTGAGTCTGCATTACTACTCCGTTCACAATATTTAAGCGGTTTGAGGGGAAGTTCCCCCACCACTTTTTTGTATTTAATGTACCTTATGTTGCTTAATCAGCTGTTGAGCTATTATTTCAAAGATAAGGGTCAAGTGGAGGGGATTCTTCCCCTAAAACCTCCTAAATATAGTGAATGAATAACAAAAATAACTACAGTACACAGAACAGAAAATCAGCTAACAAAAACAGAAAAACTTATATATACCTCAAATCCAAATAGAAATTGAATTACATTCCACAAGGACCTGCAGACTTGCCAGTAAATCGCTTAGAAATTGTGAGGAATAAATACCACCTGCCTCAGCAAACCTGCAGACTAAGAACATTTTTATTTGCCTGATTGGCGTTTAACAAAAAATTTTCACATTTACCTTTGTTGTTGTTGCCTGACCTCTTTCAGGTAAGATGTTTGTGTCACCCTATGGATTTCTCCACCTTATGCCGCGTCTTCAGGGGTCTTCTTGAATTTATCTCCTTATTACACTACACTATTGTCTAAATTTACAAAAATATTGATACATAAATGGTCACTAGTATAGCGGTAGGGTCGATCGGACAACGCGTCGATGAGTAAGTGGCGTAGTCATGGCAGTAGGTCTTTCTTCCTCTGTTTCAATTCTTGTACTAGGATTGTCAGCATTAGACCATTCGAGGTTTGACACGATAACCAACCAAATGGAAAAGGAAACAACCAGACGTACATGACCCAACCAAAAGATACGTACGTATCCACCAACTATATGGGCAAATCAACCTAAAAATTCCAAAAGAGTTGGACACACCTACCTATAAAGTGAAAACCAACCTCATTCCAAATTACGCAATTCCTTATATAAAAGACAGGCTAATTTAAAAATGGGAGAGTCACAAAAATATTTCCTATAACCACCATCTAACAACTAATACCAACAGAACAGTTTATCAACGATTTAAAGAGCATGACACAAGTCATCATAACAGCTCTACAATTCAACAATTCCCAATTCCCTCACAATTCAGAACGAAACCGACACAAAATCCTTAGCAAAAGTACAAGAAAGCTACAAAATATAAATGGATCGAACACCATCCTAAACAAAAAAGAAGACTACACCAGTCCTACAATTTTCAAATTAATATACGACAGCCTCATTGAAACGGACAAAACTGGAAACACGGCACCAAACCATCAGCAACAACAGAGATCAAAGCACCGACCATAAACCAGGAGAGTCAAACTACCCTCAACCGTCGATCGGCCCTAATGCCGACATCCCTAAGTCTAGAAATGAATCGGAGAAAGAAAGACCATCCGCTATGATTCCGCCACGTGTACATCGTCGCCGTCCGATCGACCCAACCCCAATACTAGTGACCATGTGTGTAAATATAAATTAGTGTAGTAATAAGAAGATGAATTCAAGAAAACACCTGGAGATGAAACACAAGGTGGAGAAATTCATGGGGTGTCACAAATATCTTACTTAGAAGAACTCAGGTAACTACAACAAAGGTAAATCTAATGCGTATAATTCAAGTTCTTGAAATCTGGTATGGCAAAAGATATTTAAAATATTTAATTTACCTTGTAAAATGTATTTCCTATTTAAAACATTAGGTTTAGTGAGTGCATAGGTTTGCTACTACAGGACAGTAAAGTGTGTTTTTAGTGAAATACTAAAAGTCGAGTATGAAATAAATCAATTTGCCATAAAAGAAAATTACTTAAGATTATTATTATTTTTAAAATAACATGGAAATTTCAGATTTACCGTTTTTCTCCGGAACCATATAAAGTACGTACACTTTAATCTACTAAATCATCATTTGGGTTTCCAAGCTTTACAAAAATGTTTGAAAAACAATTCAAACATTTTATGTTCTAGGAATGAAAAAGAAAAACCAATTTTTACCGCAGCTCTCTAGAACTCCATCCTCATAGCCCAAGCATGCTGATTCGCAATTTCATTGGAATAAACGTAAGGTTTACTAAATGTTTACATCAAATATGATCAAAATCGAATTATAGTTACGAAGTTATCGGTTATCATCCTAATGGAATGAATGCATTTCAACGGATGGTGTTTTTGTTCTCTGGGGACATCAAAACGAATAAGTCAACCAGTCCCAGGTCCGGATATTACGGTAATAGCTTATCCCCTATATTGGAAAACGGAAATTTGGTAACAGTCGGAAAATATATACTTAATGGGTGCGTTCGAGCGCATCAGTTTATATTTTGAAAGCTATCTGTTCCCTCTGTGAAGAACACACACACCGCAGGAGCTTTCACCGAACTCCTGTGCATGGCTAGTCTACTAAGTCCCTTTTGTATCAACTTGATTATCTTAAAAACAGTCATACGTAAATACACTATAACACAAAAAACTAGAGTACTGTATTATACATTTTAAGTATATGTGCTACATGAGACCGTACAAATGATTATTTTACATAAAAGACATGGGTAACCCAAAACTACTTGTGTAACAAGTTACACAAAATAAAAAAAGAATAATGAAAAAAACATAAACTCTGGCTCAGTAGCCTGGGTTAGAGAGCCGGCTATTCTCTAAACAAGGCAATCTAGGCTTAGCCAGTTATCTCCCTAAACATTTTACTTATTGTTTATATTTTACCTCTCAGAGCTCTAACTCGGAATAGAGGAGACTACGATCCAGTCTTGTTATTTCGGGTGGGTTAGGAAAGGGTATTGGGAGTTATTGAGGCACAGCGCTGTATTAACCTTTTCGTAGCTCCTCCATTCCAGTCATACATCTGTGAATTTTTCCGATTCTATTTAATTAAATCTAGCACCAAAATATTGTTACAAACAAAAAACGGAACACTCTGTGCAAACGGTGTTTGAGTATAGCATATTTTTTATATGCTTGCCTTACATGAATGGACAACACAGTACCGGTACCAAACAATAATTTAATACAAACAATAATCACATCACTTTAGTCCGTTGACAAAATGCAGGCAGTTTAAGGGGAAGTTTTTCTGGGTTTCCCTACTACTTTTCTCTTAATGTATGTTACAGCTGATTAAGCGGTTAAGCTTATTGACATCTGTCTGACAAGTGACTGGCATTTTGTGAATGGACTTTGAACTGGACTCTATCTATAGCTGCAGACAAGCCTACTGAGGCGTTTGAAGCTTTGTATGAAATGTATTTTGTTTATAATCTTTTGTTGCATGAATAAATAAATAAATAATAAATACACTTATACTTTTAATGTTCATTCATTGTAGTTTTATCTCAGTTAAAAATATACTTTTTCGTCAAGTCAAGTCTAATGAATTTTCAATAGACAAAAATAAAGAAATTAAAGAATTAAATTTATAAATTAAATTAAATTGAATTAAATTTTATTAGAGTTAAATTTAAAGAACCCCCTATAACCACCAAAATTTTGTAAACGGAGTTTAATACAAAAAAGATTAGAAATAAACAGAGCATGTTCCAATACTTTGCTTTCCAAAGTCGTTCAGAGTGGCGAGTCGGTCTGTACAGCCTGTGGTTATACTGTTCCTGTGACGGCGACACAGAGCAGGTCCAAGTCGGCAACTAGTACTCTCCCTACATCTTAACAGAAGAAAGACAACATCATCAATAGTATCAGGGACATACTACCTGATACTTAGAATACTGATAAGTCACTCATAATACATGTGTCGCATATCTAACCACCGCTACTCTGATAGTAGGACCTGGGACCTAACTAATTGTACATAGTCTCTTTTAATGAATATTCTTTTCATTTTTATGGTAGCCTATAGCCTCTGGATAAAAGAATATTACAATAAAAGGTTTAAATTACCTGTATCCGTCAAGTGATCCTGGTTTGTAGTTAATTGAGTACAGCCGTTTTGTGTTGTAAAAACACATCTTCAGGTCAAATGTACATTAATTTATTCCATGGAATGGTCGTCACAAGGTTTAAAGTTCACAAAAATAACACATAGACATACACGAAATATTAAACATAAATTAGCCAAAACAAAAAATACGAAAAATGCGTAATAGACATCGGACACATACGGTGCCGGTAGAAGGTAGGTCATAGGCGTTTTTGTATTTTTTGTATTGACCAATTTATGTTTAATGTTTCAAGTATGTGTATGTGTTATTTCTGTGAACTTTAAACCTTATCACGACCATGGAATAAATCAATGTACGTTTGACCTGAAGATATGTTTTTACAACTCGAAACGGCTGTAGTCAATTAACTACAAACATGACGGATACAGGTAATTTAAAAATTTTATTGTAATATTCTTTTACATTCCCCTTTAACTCCAGGCCACAGCCATTGAAGTGGCATGTCGCAAATAGGGTTCTAATCTAACAGCTGTTTTGCTTCAAGGCAGCTGGTATTTGTGTATTTTTTTAAAACACAAAAGCTTGGTAACTGGGGCTACTAAAATGTTGACTCCACTCTAAATGCACTGTTAGAAATATATTTTGAATTCTACTTGTAACAAGAAGATTGTTCTCAAACCTCATACAGGAAACAGATAAGCTCAATATAGCAAGAACCTTAAAAAATATAAGATACCATTTAAAGTGGCTATAGCAACTAATAAAAAACTATTAATTTCTTTGTTTTAAATAGTAAATCATTTGTAAGATAGTTACCTCAAGGGACAAAAGTGTTCGAGTAGCCTGACGTGGGGCAGAATCCAGCTGCATTAAATCCCATGCTACACTTTTGATTGGCAGACACCAGCACACCACTGTGATATTCCTGAAACAAGGCACATCACGGGGTTAAAGGATTAACACAATTACAATTAATTATATACGTTTCTTGTGAAATCAACCAAGTCTAGAATTATTTATCATTTGATCTTATTTAATTGTTAGTTTATTTTTCCAATTTATAAATCAGTTTATTTATGTACAATTGCATGTTTACTGTTTTTTACTGTATTTTTATCGGGTAAATGACCAGTTGCTCGGTAGCTGTGGACGAGTGAGTGTGTATTGTGCAATGTATTAACAGTGGTTCTATATCAAAAATAGTAAAACAATGAATCCTTTACGTGATGTTGCAATGTGGCGCAGAATTAGGCAGCGTAGGATTGAGTGGAAGTACTGGATTCACCCAATTAATCAAGTTATTAATTGAGTAAAAAAACAACTTTTTTTTCTTTACCCTCCAATTGTTCAAAATCCTCTCTCAGAGCAGAGCAAACTAGTTTCCACGCATCTTTCGTTTAATTTCTGTCCTTATAATAGTTTAAAGTTGTATCCCACAGTACTGGGTTTGCTTCCCCTAATTAAATCAAATCATCATTGTCGATTATCACTTCAGTTGCTATTTTCGATCTATACGATAATTCATTTGATTCCATTTCCACTCACAACTGTCACTATTCACTCCAAAAAACAAACGCAGTATGCAAAGTGCACAGAGAGAAGGTGCAACGAGAACTAGGAATATTAAGGAGAACGCACGACATCCGACAAAAAAATTGTGGTGTGGGTGAACGCCCATTTAATCATGTACGCCATTGCGAGCACAGATTCAGTGGACAAATGCACCACGACAGAATGATGTGGTTGTTAGACTGTAGTACAGTGGGCAAGCGCTCATAAGATCCATTGGTTTACTAATTGGAATGTGCAGGCCGATATAAGGTGCGAGGCAATTGGCTTTTTTGGGGAGCGACAAAAAATTGTAAATAAAAAAATAGTGATTGTATTTGCATGCGATTGTGGTAATCTTCTGATCATCCTCGCAGTCCTGTAGGCAAAATTCCGACTATTTTCCACGGCCGTGTAGACATTATTATCGTCTTCCATTATCATGGCAATATATGAAATAATCCCGCCGTCTTGGGGAAATTATCATCGTCTACCGTGTATGAGGCAAAATTCTGATCTTTTTCTGCACTCGTGTGGACATTAATATTGTCTTGCGCGATAGCCGGGGAGGTCAAATTCTGATCACCCCTCGCAGCTGTGTAGAAATCATTATATCGTCGCCCACGGTCGTATGGACAAATGTGTGGACATAGTAATTGCCTCCCGCTACTGCGGCAAAGTGGTAATCATCTCCCACGGTCATATGGAGATCATCATCGTTTTCAGCAAATGAAGCGAAATTCTTATCTTTTTCCCGCGACCATGTGGACATTATCGATTATCAACGTCTCTCTCAACAGCGGAAAAACAGATTATATCAGTGAACTTAATTTATAAAAAAAAGATGGGCCCCCTCCTAGGCCAAGGTCCCCGCAACTGCCGTGTCCGCTGTTAGGGAAATATAGCCCTGAGTATTTATGTAGTTTAGCCTTTTGCTTTACCACTGACAAGATTCTTCTTGAACCTCATATAGAAACAGATAAGCTCAATATAGCAAGAACCTTAAAAAATATAAGATACCATTTAAAGTGGCTATGTATTTAGCAACTATTAATTTCTTTGTTTTAAGTAGTAAATCATTTGTAAGATAGTTACCTTAAGGGACAAAACTGTTCAAGGAGCCTGACGTGGGGCAGAATATACAGCTGTGTTAAATCCCATGCTATGCTTTTGGTACGATTGGCAGACAGCAGCACACCACGGTGATATTCCTGCAACAAGGCACATCAAGGGGTTAAAAGGATTAACACAATTATGATTAAATATACCTATAAGTTTCTTGTAAAATCAACCAAGTCTAGAATTTAATTTATTATATCTTTGATTTATATAGGATTTACTGATTATTCTGGACAAACGCCAGTACTCAGTTAGGTAATCTAAATCTATCATGAGATCTATTTTATTTGTTAGTTTATTTTTCCAAATTATACATCGATTTATCAACATATATGTTTACTGTTTAATTAGTAATGCTGATCTGTAAATCCATTGTGTATCTTCATAGACTAAAACAATTAAATATAAACTGTCAGCCGAGCTGCGGTTACCATAGGTTATGGCACACACCACTGGGAGCGCTGTGTAGTTACGTTTACATAGCATGTACGTCGTAACGTAAATCCATTGAGTATCGTATTCTTATCAATTTAACCATTTAGTTATTAGATATGTAAAAAACTACCTGCAAATGATAAAAAGACAGCTGATATTAACAGCTTCTCGAAGCGGGAAGTTCATACTTGGAAGTAGTTGAATTACTTGCTGTGAGATTTTCTCAGGAAAGTTCACCCGCTACAATCGGAGAGATCTGAAACAGGATCAACAAACTATTAAAAGTAATCCTATCTTGGCCAAAACTTACTTCTATTTACCTGAAATTCTTCATTTAGTGGCATTTGACTTTAGTGGGTTGGAATACGTTCAAGGATACTTTGGATAAAGAACACCCGTGGTAGGGAGAAGAGGCCCAGACACAATTATTTTTATCTAACTCTTCTCTCTACACACAAGCGCTCCCTCGGCCATGTTCAGGTGAAGGGCCTCCTGTTTATACAACAATATTACCGTACTGTGGTAGGGCCATAACACAAGCTTGAGGTGTCAATTACTAATCAGAAACTGTTTTCAAAACTCCAAAAAAATTTTGAATTTTATCAAATATATCTTACGATATGAGTTTTGAAATAATTTGAGGGCCGAAGCCCATTTATCCCTCCTTGCCACCCCTGGTAAGAATCTTAGAAGTTTAATAATGCAAAACCTTACATAGGAATCTAGTTTTTGGTCGATTGATGTCCCCCTCTGCTGCAGGCGTAAATGATTCCCTATTTACTGGCTTTGCCTAAGTAGATAAGAGTTATATAATGGCTTTTCATGGTTAAACTTCTTAAACTTTTACCAGGCTACTCAAAATTACTTAAAAAATAACTTAATACAAAATATATGTATATCCTACAATTATTCCTTAACTTAAAGAAGGCGTATTAATAACACCTATTTAAAGGAAAAAATATCTAATAATAAAAATATATTTACAGTATGCAACATTTGAGGAATCAATAAAATTGTAATTTACGAAAAACTACACAACTTACCACGTTTTTTAATTTGTGATTTCCTTAATCTTCTTCTTCTTTTTCTGGTTCTTTTAACTAATATTAACAATCAACTCAAACTATCCAACTTTATGACTCATATCTGAAATCGCGTCAAATCAACGTTCATCACTATGTCCGTGCAACAATATCAGATGATTTGAAACTGGACATTAAACTTTTACCAGGCTAGTGAAAAATGACTTAATAAATAACTTAATACAAAATATATGTATATCCTACAATTATTCCCTAACTAAAGGAGGCATATTAATAACACCTAGTTAAAGGAAAAAATATCTAATAATAAAAATATATGTACAGTAAGCAACATTTGAGAAATCAATAAAATTGGAATTTACAAAAAACTACACAACTTACCACTGTCTTATTTGTGATTTCCTTAATCTTCTTCTTCTTTTTCTGGTTCTTTTAACTAATATTAACAATCAACTCAAACTATCCAACTTTATGACTCATATCTGCAATCGCGTCAAATCAACGTTCATCACTATGTCCGTGCAACAATATCAGACGATTTGAAACTGGACATTAAACTTTTACCAGGCTACTGAAAAATGACTCGGTAATAAATAACTTAATACAAAATATACGTATATCCTTCAATTATTCCTTAACTTAAAGAAGGCGTATTAATAACACCTATTTAAAGGAAAAAATATCTAATAATAAAAATATATGTACAGTATGCAACATTTGAGGAATCAATAAAATTGTAATTTTCGAAAAACTACACAACTTACCTCGTTTTTTTATTTGTGATTTCCTTAATCTTCTTCTTCTTTTTCTGGTTCTTTTAACTAATATTAACAATCAACTCAAACTATCCAACTTTATGACTCATATCTGAAATCGCGTCAAATCAACGTTCATCACTATGTCCGTGCAACAATATCAGATGATTTGAAACTGGACATTAAACTTTTACCAGGCTACTGAAAAATGACTCGGTAATAAATAACTTAATACAAAATATACGTATATCCTTCAATTATTCCCTAACTTAAAGAAGGCGTATTAATAACACCTAGTTAAAGGAAAAAATTGGAATTTACAAAAAACTACACAACTTACCACTTTTTTATTTGTGATTTCCTTAATCTTCTTCTTCTTCTTCTGGTTCTTATAACTAATATTAACAATCAACTCAAACTATCCAACTTTATGACTCATATCTGAAATCGCGTCAAATCAACGTTCATCACTATGTCCGTACAACAATATCAGATGATTTAAAACTGGACATTAAACTTTTACCAGGCTACTGAAAAATGACTTAATAAATAACTTAATACAAAATATATGTATATCTTTCAATTATTCCAGGCGTATTAATAAAACCTATTTAAAGGAAAAAGTATCTAATAATAAAAATATATGTACAGTATGCAACATTTGAGGAATCAATAAAATTGTAATTTACGAAAAACAACACAACTTACCTCATTTTTTTATTTGTGATTTCCTTAATCTTCTTCTTCTTTTTCTGGAACTTTTAACTAATATTAACAATCAACTCAAACTATCCAACTTTATGACTCATACCTGAAATCGCGTCAAATCAACGTTCATCACTATGTCCGTGCAACAATATCAGATGATTTGAAACTGGACATTAAACTTTTACCAGGCTACTGAAAAATGACTTAATAAATAACTTAATACAAAATATATGTATATCCTATAATTATTCCCTAACTTAAAGAAGGCATATTAATAACACCTAGTTAAAGGAAAAAATATATGTACAGTATGCAACATTTGAGGAAAAAATTGGAATTTACAAAAAACTACACAACTTACCACTTTTTTATTTGTGATTTCCTTAATCTTCTTCTTCTGGTTCTTTTAACTAATATTAACAATCAACTCAAACTATCCAACTTTATGACTCATATCTGAAATCGCGTCAAATCAACGTTCATCACTCACTATGTCCGTGCAACAATATCAGATGATTTAAAACTTGACATTAAACTTTTACCAGGCTACTGAAAAATGACTTAATAAATAACTTAATACAAAATATATGTATATCTTTCAATTATTCCTTAACTTAAAGAAGGCGTATTAATAACACCTATTTAAAGGAAAAAATATCTAATAATAAAAATATATGTACAGTATGCAACATTTGAGGAATCAATAAAATTGTAATTTACGAAAAACTACACAACTTACCTCGTTTTTTTATTTGTGATTTCCTTAATCTTCTTCTTCTGGTTCTTTTAACTAATATTAACAATCAACTCAAACTATCCAACTTTATGACTCATATCTGAAATCGCGTCAAATCAACGTTCATCACTATGTCCGTGCAACAATATCAGATGATTTGAAACTGGACATTAAACTTTTACCAGGCTACTGAAAAATGACTTAATAAATAACTTAATACAAAATATATGTATATCCTACAATTATTCCCTAACTAAAGGAGGCATATTAATAACACCTAGTTAAAGGAAAAAATATCTAATAATAAAAATATATGTAGGCCTACAGTATGCAACATTTGAGAAATCAATAAAATTGGAATTTACAAAAAAATACTTAACTTTTTTATTTGTGATTTCCTTAATCTTCTTCTTCTTCTTCTGGTTCTTATAACTAATATTAACAATCAACTCAAACTATCCAACTTTATGACTCATATCTGAAATCGCGTCAAATCAACGTTCATCACTATGTCCGTGCAACAATATCAGACGATTTGAAACTGGACATTAAACTTTTACCAGGCTACTGAAACATGACTCGGTAATAAATAACTTAATACAAAATATACGTATATCCTTCAATTATTCCTTAACTTAAAGAAGGCGTATTAATAACACCTATTTAAAGGAAAAAATATCTAATAATAAAAATATATGTACAGTATGCAACATTTGAGGAATCAATAAAATTGTAATTTACGAAAAACTACACAACTTACCACTTTTTTATTTGTGATTTCCTTAATCTTCTTCTTCTGGTTCTTTTAACTAATATTAACAATCAACTCAAACTATCCAACTTTATGACTCATATCTGAAATCGCGTCAAATCAACGTTCATCACTATGTCCGTGCAACAATATCAGATGATTTAAAACTGGACATTAAACTTTTACCAGGCTACTGAAAAATGACTTAATAAATAACTTAATACAAAATATATGTATATCCTACAATTATTCCCTAACTTAAAGAAGGCGTATTAATAACACCTAGTTAAAGGAAAAAATATATGTACAGTATGCAACATTTGAGGAAAAAATTGGAATTTACAAAAAACTACACAACTTACCACTTTTTTATTTGTGATTTCCTTAATCTTCTTCTTCTTCTTCTGGTTCTTATAACTAATATTAACAATCAACTCAAACTATCCAACTTTATGACTCATATCTAAAATCGCGTCAAATCAACGTTCATCACTATGTCCGTGCAACAATATCAGATGATTTGAAACTGGACATTAAACTTTTACCAGGCTACTGAAAAATGACTCGGTAATAAATAACTTAATACAAAATATACGTATATCCTTCAATTATTCCTTAACTTAAAGAAGGCGTATTAATAACACCTATTTAAAGGAAAAAATATCTAATAATAAAAATATATGTACAGTATGCAACATTTGAGGAATCAATAAAATTGTAATTTACGAAAAACTACACAACTTACCACGTTTTTTTATTTGTGATTTCCTTAATCTTCTTCTTCTTCTTCTGGTTCTTATAACTAATATTAACAATCAACTCAAACTATCCAACTTTATGACTCATATCTGAAATCGCGTCAAATCAATGTTCATCACTATGTCCGTACAACAATATCAGACGATTTGAAACTGGACATTAAACTTTTACCAGGCTACTGAAAAATGACTCGGTAATAAATAACTTAATACAAAATATACGTATATCCTTCAATTATTCCTTAACTTAAAGAAAGCGTATTAATAACACCTATTTAAAGGAAAAAATATCTAATAATAAAAATATATGTACAGTATGCATCATTTGAGGAATCAATAAAATTGTAATTTACAAAAACTACACAACTTACCACTTTTTTATTTGTGATTTCCTTAATCTTCTTCTTCTGGTTCTTTTAACTAATATTAACAATCAACTCAAACTATCCAACTTTATGACTCATACCTGAAA